TCGCTTGGCAATCAGGAAGTGAGTGCTTCTATTTGACTTCACTTTTCTCCGTTGAAGTCAAGGGGGTAATCCATCAGCCGGAAGTTGAAGCTGCCTCCGGGGGCCGCTATTGTAGCTGGCTATCACCTGCTGTTAGCATCCCTTTGACTCCCATTCATTTTGGCATCACTTTGACAGCGAATAACTTTACATCTGAGGCGTCCAAAGACTCCATTTGTCCATTATTTATTTCTTAAGAAACACGACAATGTATAAAATGCTCCATTACCTTGTATCTTACATTATGGCCCCGTAAAAGCCATTCTTGTAAAAATAGGCTAACGATTGCGTCATAACCACGGGACGCTCTGTCGCACAGTAGAGAAATTACCGTATAGACAGAAGTAGAAGCTCGTAGGCAATCGTTTACTGTCCATGAGCCAATCGGGTGGACATGGAGGCATAAAGTCAAGGGAGAAGCCCATAGATAGAGAGTTCATAAAAGCAACGGGACAAAATATTTCAACAACAGATTTGTTTCAGATTTCAATTCAGATTTGTCCCGGCACAGCTACTAGAAGGTCAGAACGGTTGCTCACGTGACAACTACGTCGTCAAGCTCAGTTTGAGCCTGCGCAGTGCGCTTGGCTATCAGGAAGTGAGTGCCCATGTTGGGCTTCAACTCTCTCCGTTGAAATCAACGGGGTCGCTGTGTCCATTTCTTTTACTGTCTATGGTTGAAGTCTATGGGGTCGCTGTGTCCATTTCTTTTACTGTCTATGGTGGCTCCTCAGACTTTCAAAGTGCACGGTGCAAAGTGCACTCGTTCCTCTAAAGTAGAGATGCACCGCTTGATTGGCTGGTGACCGGAATTGGCCGATTTTCATGTGATGAGCAGTGCGGGTTTTTTTTTTCCGGCGTGCATGTTAATCAATGAGTGCATTCACACCGGGAGCAGGAGCAGCGCGTGAGCAGCAGTGAAGCGCGGGTTTCGGCGCAGAGTATTTTTTTTGCAGCACTGCTCTCAATTAAAAGGACACTTTTGATGGACAAAATAAATATGATTTCACTCAAAAAGTGCCCAAATGCACAGAATTTGCATGTCTGGTGTGTTTTAACAAGAACTGGAGTAGGCTATGTCAGAAAAGAAAATGAAGACTCAAAAATATTTATAGAATTTTTTTTTATTGAATGCTAGACATCAAGTTGGTATTTTCATCTGAAAGAAGAATTACAAGATGCACTATTTTTTAGTAAGCTTGGCCTATGTGTTTTCAAGGCTTCAAAGTTTTATTGAATGCTACCTCTGACTAAGAATGCATTACTTTGCACTTGTATATTTTTTTTATTTGGGAATTTTAAGAGCAATAAACATATATTGCAATGTTAAGGAATTCATGTTTTTTTCATTCAGATATATAAATCAACATGTATAAATTGGTATTAGTCAATTAATGGGGAGATAAGCGATAACAGAATCGAATCGAAATCGAATCGGACAGAAAAACGAATCGTTAGATTAATCGATGCATCGGAAAAATAATCGCTAGATTAATCGTTTAAAAAATAATCGTTTATCCAAGCCCTAGTGACGGCCCTATCATACACCCGGGCGCAAGTGTCTTTTGCGAGTTTCAACCCGGCGCAATGATCATTTTCACGTTTAGCGCCATGTTGTTTAAACCGCAAATGCGCTCAAAATTGCGCCCAATTTTGCGCCCATTGGCGTTCTGGTCTGAAAAAGAGGTGTGCTCAGGCACATTGTTGGGGCGTTGCTATTTTGAGGCAACTAAAATAGACTACGCCATTGACCAACTAAAACCTGCTCTAAAGTCTAAAGGGTGCAATATTGTTTTGTTATTTAATTAGCGCATTAGTAATACGGGACGACAATGCGCGTTTGCTTATCACACATGGATGCGCAGCAGCACACAACCCTTTTTATAATATGAAAAATTAAAGGATTAAAATGTAAAAGATTATTATTGAGTCTCTTGGACATAAATGAGGACCGATTACGAGACGTTAGAAGGCGTAAAGAGCTGCTTCACCTGTAGTAAGTAATTAAATGCTTTAAACAAATGCAAATATTGCATCTATTTTTAAATGTGTTTTTTTGTAATGCTACCCGACGGATTTATTGTATATGATGACGTTGTACCTCTGGATGTGGATATGATGAGATGAGAAACCTTTTTAAGTACCGGTAATGCTTTTAAAACACGCACGGCGCTGTCCGAGTGCTGAAATGTTTCGGCTCTCCACACGTTTGTAAATTCTTTATCTCCTGTTGTTAAAAATAAAGTATTTTTAGAGTACAAACCTTTTCTTGCATATTTGCAAATTATTTTATGAGCGATTATAATGTGTTACTTTTTTGTTTGAGTACTGTAGAAAAGACAATGTTTTATTAAGATGAAAAGATGTTTTGAATTTTTTTTTTGTAAAATAAAAGTCAGAAATTAAATGGGATCCTTTATTGTATATTTACTGCACTTATCCTGTAACTACACAGAACAAGGGGTAACACTTTACAATACGGGTGCACTAATATGCATTAATTCATCCTTAACTAATGCACAGATAATCATGAGTTAATGTATGACTCATGAAGAACTAAACCATTAATTAATAATTACTGCATCAGCAACTAATAAAGAGTCTATATGATTAATAGATTAAGTAATAAATGAATTGCTATTAATTAAACGTGTCATCATGTATTAATTCCTTAATAACATATTTTATTAATAGTGTAAATGAATGTGTTAATTACCACAATTAGTCAACGCTATGCACTTTAACTTCCAGTTGTCTGCTTTAATTAATCATTAGCTAATGATTTGCAAAGGTATCATTATGTTATGACTTTACTTGTTGAGGCACATGACTATTAAGTAGCCTAATTGTTAATATGTCATTATGGTTATGGGTTTTGTCATCCCCACTAAACGTCTGTGGGGCAGTTGCACATGCAGTGAGTGTAATGTCAGAGAGTGTTTGAAGGATGGGTAAGTTGGGCCGCACACAAATTTCAGCACCAGCACTCTTAGAAAAAAAGGTTCATTGGGGTTCTATATAGAACCATAGGGTTCTTTACTCAACTCCAAAGAACCTTTTATGCTAAAAAGGTTCTATAATGACAAGAAAGAACCCTTTTGGCACAAATGTTATTTAGGCTATTATTCATTCATGTATTACATAATTATGCAACATTTTGTAGTTGTAATTAAATTATTGTTTATTAAACTGTTGTAGTAACTTAATATCACATTTTAATCATGCTGATTTTTGGAGGAGAAAAGCTGAAATTGTGAAAAAAAAGCTGAAAAACAGCTTATCGTCATCATCATCATCATAACAAGAAATTACTCAGTACAAAAACAAACATAAGGTCTCATTCTAAGCCATTTATAGCTGAATAGGCTTTCGTCTAGTCTTACTTAGCCTTGTTTGCTGCTCTTACATTTCATTCTTTGTCATTTATGTGAAATTATTGTACCACAACTAAACAATTTTGTGTGGCACTAGTGTAAATTAAAGTCATTAAAACGGAAGACCCCCCCCCCCCCCCCCCCCCATTTAAAATTTGAGACTATTATACAGGCATATCTATTCAGACTTAATTTCTGAAAGTGCTTGAAGTGTGTCTTGGACTCCTGTTTAGTTGCCTTAATAGGGATCTGCAAGAATGGTATTTATTGCATACCGTGGCATAAAGTATCCAAACCGCTAGAGGGAGCGCTCACCAAGGTCTGAGCATACTGGGGCCGGGAACAGTGAGTGTATTCTTCCCATCGTACCTGTTCGGGTAAAACATAAGAAAGACACAAAGATAATCAAAACCTATGCTTTTCTGGATCAAGGAAGTACAGCGACTTTCTGCACTGAAGACTTGGCGAAGAAGTTGAATATGCGAGGCAGAAAGACAAGAGTTCCTGCTTCGCACTATAGCGCAAGAACAGAAAGTTTGTAGCTATGAACTTACAGATCTGGAGGTGTGTGGCTTAGAGGAGCAAGATTACATTCAGCTGCCCAATGTGTATACTCAGCCAGATATACCTGCAAAAAAGGCCAACATCCCACAGAAGAAAGATTTGGAAAAGTGGTCTTACCTGAGTCGAGTCCATCTCCCAAAACTAGAGGCAGAAGTTGGTCTGCTCATCGGTGTCAACGCGTACAAAGCCATGGAGCTGTGGGAGATCATTAATAGCCAGAACGACGGACCATACGCTGTGAAGACAGCTCTTGGTTGGGTTGTCAATGGGCCAATCAGCAGATGCCAAGAGAAGGAATCAGACGATGGCAAAAGACAAAGTTTCCTTGTCAACCGTATTTCTGTGATGAGCGTTGAAGACATGCTGATGAAGTATTACAATGCAGATTTTCCAGAAAGAAGATGTGACGACAGACGAAAACAGTCTCAACATGACAAGCAGTTCATGCATACGGTGACAACATCAGCCCAGCTTGTGGATGGTCACTTCTGCATCAAGTTGCCTTTGAAGGATGACAAGGTGAAGATGCCATGCAATCGTGGTATTGCTGAACAGAGGCTTAACTCTGACAGAGGCTAATATTGACTTCTTTCAAGAGTACAGGGCTTTTATGGACAACATACTGGAAAAGGGCTATGCAGTAAAGATTCCAGAAGAACAGTTGATTCGCAGTGATGGAAGAGTATGGTTCATTCCACACCATGGGGTGTATCATCCAAAAAAGAGGAAACTCCGAGTCGTCTTTGACTGTGCAGCAACTTACCAAGGTGTGTCACTAAATGACCAGTTGTTGCAAGGCCCTGATCTAACTAACACCCTCATCGGAGTGTTGCTGAGATTCAGACAGGAGCCTGTTGCCATGATGGCAGATATCGAGTCCATGTTTTACCAGGTGTGGATTCCAGACACGGACGCAGATATGTTACGCTTTCTCTGGTGGTCAGGCGGTAATCTGAATGTGGAACCAGAAGAGTACAGAATGTGTGTGCATCTGTTCGGTGCTACTGTACATCATCCCCTAGTTGTGCGTCATATGCATTGAGAAGAACAGTGGAGGATGCAGTATCAAAGAGTACACCAGAAGCCACACAGACAGTCCTCAAGAACTTCTATGTGGATGACTGCTTGAAGTCGGTAGCCACAGAAGACAAAGCCGTTGCTCTTGTCAGGGAGCTGATGACGCTGTGCGCCAGTGGTGGTTTCCATTTGACCAAGTGGGTCAGCAACAGCCGAGCCCTGCTGGGCTCCATTCCTGACCACGAACGAGCGGCTGAAGTCAAAGATCTCGATTTGGAGCATGATGAGTTACCAGTGGAACGAGCATTGGGCGTGCAGTGGTGCACAAGTTCTGACAGCTTCAGGTTCAAAATACATCTGCCGGACAAGCCATACACAAGACGGGGCATTTTATCTGTAGTCAGTTCGGTGTATGACCCAATGGGTTTTTTGGCACCACTCCTACTACCTGTCAAGCTCATTTTAAGAGATCTCTGCCAAGAGAAGAAAGGTTGGGACGAAGAGATCCACGAAAAGTCATGCCAGACATGGATGAAGTGGCTGACAGACTTAGACAAGCTTTCAGAACTCAGTCTGAACAGATGTTTCAAACCCCCTGCATTTGGGCCTACAAAGGTTGCTCAAATCCACAATTTCTCAGACGCTAGTCAAGATGGATATGGCGTTGTGTCGTATCTCTTGCTGACAAATGATCGGGCTGAGAAACATGTATCGTTCTTGATGGGAAAGTCCAGAGTCGCTCCACTCAAACAGATCACGATCCCGAGAATGGAGTTGACAGCAGCGACTGTTGCAGTCAAGATCGATCGGATGTTGAAAGAAGAACTTGAAGTTCCCCTGATGGAGTCGGTCTTCTGGACAGATAGTACAACAGTACTGAAGTACATTGAAAACGATGCCCTTAGTTTCAAGACATTTGTGGCAAACCGTGTCTCTTTCATTAGAGAAGCGACTACATCTTCTCAGTGGAAGTATCTCAACACCTCACAAAACCCAGCCGATCAGGCTTCAAGAGGTTTGAAGATCCAGAGCTTCATGGAAAGTAAAAGCTGGTTTCAGGGGCCTAGTTTCCTGCAAAAAGAAGTTGAATGGCCGGAACAACCTGAACAGTGTACTTACTTGACTGAAGATGATGTTGAGGTGAAGACATCCGCTGCAGTGTCATGCACAAACTCAAACAAGTTCACAGATCTATTGAACCAGCTCGTTGAGTATTATTCCAGTTGGCATAAGCTGAAAAAAGCGTCAGCCTGGATTTTGCACTTGAGAAGGACGTTGCGGCACCTGAGCGAGAAGAGAAAAGAGTTTGAGCAGAACATACAGGAGAATGAGATTGATCCAGGTAAATGCAGATCAATAGTTGAAAAGCAAATGGTGATGTGCAAGAAGAACCTGGAAAAAAGAATACTTACCGTGGAAGATCTATCCAGAGCTGAAATGGAACTGGTTAAATACAGTCAGAGACAAGCTTACACAGAGGAGATACAAGCCTTGCAGCCGGGAGGCTCCCGTGTGAAAAAGAACAGTTCTATCTTCAAACTGGATCCATACTTGCAAGATGATGTGTTGAGAGTAGGAGGACGTTTGAACAGATCGGCGATGCCTGAGGAGGCCAAGCATCCTGCCATTTTGCATAAACAGCACAGAATAGCTCACCTCATTCTCCACCACATCCATCAAGAGTGTGGACATGGAGGTAGGAACCACATCTTAGCCATATTGCGACAACGGTTTTGGATACCAAGAGCCAATGCAGCAGCAAGAAAAGTGATTTCAGAGTGCAACCTCTGCAGAAGACTCCATGCAAAGGCAGGAGAGCAGAAAATGGCAGATCTGCCACAAGACCGTCTGCTTCCTGACAAACCACCCTTCACCAACACGGGTGTGGATTATTTTGGACCTTTTGAGGTCAGAAGAGGACGTGCAAAGGTTAAGCGTTATGGAGTGCTCTTCACATGTTTAACTGTCAGGGCAGTGCATATAGAAGTAGCCCATTCTCTTGACACCGATTCATGTATTAATGCCATACGGCGTTTTCAAGCAAGAAGAGGCCAAGTGTCAATCATTCGTTCCGACAATGGCACAAACTTTGTCGGTGCTGAACGAGAGCTGCGTGAGGCATTGTCAGAGCTGGATCAGTCTCGTATCAATGAAGTCATGATGAGAAAGGGTGTGCAATGGATTTTCAACCTGCCTGCTGCATCCCATCACGGCGGTATCTGGGAACGTCAAATACGCACAGTGAGAAAAGTGCTGAGCTCTGTTGTGAAGCAACAGCTCTTAGAAGATGAAGGACTACACACTCTCCTATGCGAAGTTGAAAGCATCATCAATGGGAGACTGTGTTGCCATTAAGGCAAAATGTTAGGGACTTTTATTTTGATATGATGTAGACCTGGAGTTTGGGGTTAGAGGTTATTTCCTGTACAGAAGTAAGGAAGCTGACAGAATGTGAGCACATGTAATCCATTTGTTGTTAGCACTAGAGGCAATGTCGTAAGTACAAAATTCATTTTTATGTTAATAAGTTAATGTTACAATACTGTTTAAAAAGAAAAGACTACACATAGTTACATATTTATTTACATGTATATACAGGTATTTTTATTGTAACTAGATTTATGTTAAAACAGTCAAACTTTATTTCTTTGTTACAGTTTTCACTCTGTCATGTAAGATGATGTTGAAGCCACAGTAAACAGCAAGAAATCGCTCACTACGACTTGTCGTCATTTTGCATCAGAGTTAGCTGGTTGTATAGCTACAGTTGCTACACTGCAGTGAGGACAACACAGTGAAAAGACAGAGAAAGGTTAGTGTTGAACATCGTGGCAAGATGGAAGGAAAACGTGCTAAGTCTTCCGTAGCAAGTGGAAGTTCTCACTCATCTGCGTCATCAAGGAGTGCAGTGATCCGTGCACGGGCTAAAGCAGCAGCTGCTAAAGTACGTGCTGAATATGCAGAAAAAGAGGCTAAAGCTAAAATAGAAAAGGCAGCTAAAGAAGCTGAATCACAGTTGGAGAAGGTGAAAAGAGAGACTGAGCTTGAAACACTCGCCATGTGTCGTGAAGCAGCAGCTGCTGAAGCTGAAGCAGCCGTTTGGGAATCGGCTGACTCAATTGCAAAGTGTATTCTGTTGGATGAAACCGGCTCGTCAGGAGAAGATAAAATGGAGCGGACGAGCGAATACGTTCAAACTCATTTTGGCCCAACTAGCTCCCCAAAGCGAGAAGCTATGAACGCTTGCTCTCAGGCTTTTCAGCCTGCTACAGATGGCACTCTCCTTTTCAGTCCGAACAATCCCTTCTCTTCATACCAGCAGGTTCCTGTTTCTTCACATGAGCCACGACAGGCTAATAACATAGGAAATGGGAATTTATCAGAGGATGGTCTAGACGATGTTTATGTTCCACCGGCAGCCAAACTGTCATATGGTCAGACTTTAGTTGACAGAGAGGATGCTCAAGTCGATTCAAAGAAGTTTCATACTGACTTGAATATTTGTGACCTGCTCTGGCGAAATGAGTCGGAAGTTGCAACGTTCCATTTTAAGATATGGGCCGATTATGTGGAAAAACAATTTTATTTTTTATTTTATTTTATTTCAAAGAACAGACATTCAAAAATAATCTCCCAAAGTTTCATACTCCAGATAATTGAGTAAAGGTATTTAAATGACTATTAAAGTGTAGACAGTTTTACTAAATTCTTTGGATTCTTCGTCAACTCCTCTCGTCACCTCTGAGCATTTCCCGGGTATCCCCTGAAACGTCACTATCTCTGCTCTCCAAATATGGTGTTACAAGTTGTATGGAACCAATCAAAAAGCTTAGAAATGTACACAAACGCTGATCATTTGTCAATGGGAAGCCCCGTTTCGACTGACCGGCACGCGATTGGTCCAGCCATCCTCCTGTCAGACTCGCAGCGCTCTTTGTAAACAAGCTAGCAGATCTCCTCAGAAAGATTAAATATTATTAATTTGAGAAATGTCGCTGTCAAAAGAGAGCAAAGTCGCCAAAGCGTTGAACTCACTGGAGGCTTCTAACCTAAGCTCTGCTGCTGGTCAGCAAGAGTGGCTAATGGTGTGTTCACACAGAACGCGAATTTAATTATTTGCACGAGTAGATTAGGCCTACATACAAAGTCAATGCAAAGACGCGAATAGAAGCATCATTCGCGCCGGGCGTTGCGAATGACGCGAATTGGGCGATGCGTTTGCCGCGAATGTCTTCCGCGCAAGTTGAAAAATTTGAACTCGAGCGAATGTTCAAGCGTCTAACTAGACGCGATAGACGCGTATTTGACGCTCTATTCGCGTTCGGTGTGAACACACCATAAGGCTTGTCAGTGATTTTTTTGGGATCTGGAGATGTGTCATCCTCTGAAGACAGCGACAGCAAAAGTGACAGGCCTGTGGAAGAGGATCACGATGATGATGATGAAAACGTGTTTGATTTATTTTAGCCCAATATTTAACTGTTGGTATCTCCGTTATGAATTTGTTACACTGTTATTGTCAAATAGCCTACACAAAGATATGATTGCATAGGCTAGCATTATTTGTTCTCCGTTTCCTTGTCTCTCTGCCTCTCTCACACACACACACACACACACACACACACACACACACACACACACACACACACAGACACACACAGCTTTGTTTTTGTGATATATGAGGACATTCCATAGGCGTAATGATTTTTATACTGGACAAACTGTATATTCTATCCCCCTACACTGCCCCTATCCCTAAACCTACCCATCACAGGAGACATGCTGCATTTTTACATTAAAAAAAAAACATTGTTTTTTATGTTTTTTAAGCTATTTGAAATATGAGGACTCATGCAATGTCCTCATATATCACGTGTAAGTTGTAATACCAGTGTAATATGCATGTCATTATACACATTTGTGTCCTCATATATCACAAAAACAAACACACAAAATACACACACACACATACACACACACACACACACTCTCTCTCTCTCTCTCTCTCTCTCTCTCAAGCAAAAATGTAGCACCTCTGTTCAATCTTTCTGATTTTAGTAAATGTTTGTAAAAGTGCCTTTTAAATTATTTATTCAAATAAAAACTTTAAAATAATTTGAGCTTCAGCCTGGTTTAATAGCATTTATATATATATATATTAATGTCTTTAGTCAAATTAAGCAGTAAAATAAATAGTTTATCCCTTTAAATCCAATGGATTTTGAAAGATATCAACAAAAAACGGGCAAAAAACTTTAAAAGCGATTTTCTCAGGTTTTCAATTGGAAAAAGAGGGCAGACGACCATAATTTAAATGTGTATATCTTTACAACCATTCAAGGTATGGCTTTGAGGATATCATTTGAAAGCTGATGGTCTCCTCTTTCCACTAATACCAAAATCTCAATTTTGAAATTTGGGTCACTGTGACTCATTTTGCTAGCCTGGCTCCGCCCTCCTACGCACTTCCGCTCAATTTTATTTTCCTTCAGTACTACGTCTGGGATTGTGCTGTAGACTTTGGTTTCCAGAAATAATTTTTTTACCGGTCCAATCAGCGAACAGAGGGAGTGGCTGAGAACGATGACGTTGATGTAGCGTGTCAGTTTGAGTTGGAGTTCAGTAATGGCAGCGGAGAAAGACGTGAGAAAATCTATTCGGTCCGTTGTTGCAAAACTGCCGAATATCCAGAAGTTAAAGCCGGAGCAAGATCAATGTTTGCTAAGTGTTGTTGGTGGCCATGATGTTGTGGCCCTCCTCCCCACGGGGTTCGGGAAAAGTTTAATTTTCCAGCTCACTCCGCTAGTGGTGAATGAGTAAGCTAAGGCGAACGATAGGATGCAAAGCCGATAGTTGTTGTCGTCTCCTCTTGTTGCACTAATGGAGGACCAAGTGAGGGAGGCAGAAAGGTTAGGAGTTGGTGCTGGGCAGCTCGGCGTGCACGATGATCACTGTACAGCATTTGCGGCAGATCCGAAACGACCGCAGCGGCGTATTGTTAGTGATTACACCCAGCTTCGACAGTTGACTGAATACATCACTGTCCTTAGTGTCAAATATACATTTAGAATTGTTCCTTGAACTCTTAAATTCGATGAACAAAACATGCAGCTCTCGTTGACAGACATCTTATTCTAAACATAATCCTCTGATCATTCGGACTTGTTTTTTTTTTATTGCTTAAAACAATACACAAGTAATAACAGAAAACATAATACAAAAACAAACAAAAAATAATAATAAAAACAAAACAAAAATAAAACAGTAGGGGGATAATATAAAATAAACATGAACAAGTTAAGAAAATTACATGACACTGAAAAAAGGAAAATAATTACAAACAGATAATGTTTTTAAGGCTTTTTTTGTTCTCAGACAACTTAATTGAAAAGAGGTATTTTTAAAATTCTTTCACAAATATAAGAAAGAGAGGTTTAGCATTTAGATATTTAGATTTATGAATATGGAATTCGGACTTGTTGTTTCCAGCCGGTTTCGGCGCATGACATACGTCACGACCACACGTTAGCGATTGGCTATGGCAGATCCTGAGTGACGCTGGGCAGATCCAATAGTTTTGAACTTTAACAGAGAACCCGCCTACAAGGAAGTAAACGTTTCTCAATGGAGCGAGGCCAGACTCTCTGTACAAATGAAATGTACGAGAGTCTGGTAGAACCAGGCTATCATTTTGCTGGATCAGGTCACATTTCTGCTCCATGCTATTACCCCCAGCTAAACACTGATCAGAGCGTGTCTGCAACTGAACATCTTGCGCAATATTTAGCGCGACGTGACCTGGTGAGTGCAAGCTTGTATGAGTTTGATGATAAACCAGAAAATTATCGTGCTTGGCAGTCTTCATATAAAAATGCGACACAAGGGCTGGGTCTCACTGCTACTGAAGAGCTAGACTTAATGACTCGATGGCTTGGCAAAGAATCCAGCAACCAAGTGAAACGCCTGCGTTCAGTGCACGTAGCAAGTCCAGACATAGCAATCAGAAAAGCCTGGGAACGTCTACAGGAATGTTATGCAGCGCCAGAGGTAGTTGAAAAGGCCCTCTTCACTCGACTTGACAAGTTCCCCAAGGTTTTGGCGAAAGAAAATCTGAAGCTAAGGGAGTTAGCAGATCTGCTGATGGAAGTGCAGTGTGCTAAGGAAGACGGCTACTTTCCAGGTTTGTCCTACCTGGATACTGCACGAGGCATTGAACCTATAGTAGCCAAGCTGCCTTATGGACTTCAGGAAAAATGGATTTCTGCGGGTTCAAAGTATAAAGAAGAAAATGGAGGACGGTTTCCACCATTTGAATTCTTTACCAGATTCATGTGCTATGAGGCAAAGAAAAGGAATGATCCCAGTTTTGCCCTTTTAAATGCTAGCGGATCTGCTGTAAAGGCTGAAAGTCCCCAATTTAAAAGCATCAAGAACCCCATTGCAGTTCATAAGACCAATGTCTCCCCAGCAGAGCCGAGCACTTCCAGTGATCCAAATAAGAGCTGCCCAATACATGCAAAGCCGCATCCACTGAAGAAGTGCAAAGCCTTTAGAGCCAAAGATCTACAAGACAGGAAAGCCTTTCTGAAGGAGAGAGGATTCTGCTTTAAATGTTGTGGCTCAAATAGTCATGTGGCGAAGGACTGCACTGCAGTAGTGAAATGTTCTGAGTGTGACAGCACCAAGCATGTCTCAGCTATGCATCCGGCTCCTCCTCCAAAGATCACTGCTCCTGATACCTCGCCACAGAATGGCGGGGAGCGAGAAGATGGTAACGACAGCAGGGAAGTCGTCAGCTCAAGCTGCACTGAAGTATGTGGTGCAGGTCAAGTTGGGACGTCATGTTCCAAGATATGCCTAGCAAAGGTGTATCACAAGGGCTGTCCAGATAAAGCCATCAAGGAATATATCGTTTTAGATGACCAAAGCAACCGGTCATTGGCGAGGTCCAGTTTCTTTGACCTTTTCAACATTCAGAGTAAGCCATATCCTTACTTACTGAGAACGTGCTCCGGCACAGAGGAAACATTTGGCAGAAGGGCTGAAGATTTCATGGTCAAAGCACTTGATGGGAAAGTGACAATCCCTCTTCCCCCGCTTATTGAATGTAACGACTTACCTGACAACCGAGCTGAAATTCCCACGCCTAACGCCGCTCTTCATCAACCTCACCTCGTCAAGGTAGCAGAACACATTCCCGAGTTGGACCCTACTGCGGAGATCCTCCTGCTACTTGGTAGAGATATAATTAGAGTGCACAAGGTAAGGGAACAAGTAAATGGCCCTCCCAATGCCCCTTTTGCTCAACGTCTTGACCTAGGTTGGGTGATGGTTGGAGAGGTCTGCCTAGGTAATGCGCACACGCCAAGTGTCAGCATTTACAGGACAACAGTGCTTGATTGTCAACGGCCCTCGCTCCTCCAACCGTGCACAAGTGTTATGCATGTCAGGGAGAAGCTTCATGGCAAAGAGCCCAGGAAGAGTGTCTTAGGGCCCAGCAGGGCTAAAGAAGACAGGCTGGGTAAAAATGTATTCGATCGCACCGAACAGGACAACAAGCTGGCACCATCAATTGAGGATGAGACTTTCTTGAACATAATGGACAAAGAAGTCTACAGAAATGATTCACACAGTTGGGTCGCTCCACTACCGTTCAGACAGCTTAGAGAACGTTTGCCTAACAACCGCAGCCAAGCACTCAAACGTTTTGAATCACTTCGACGCAACTTGAGGAGAAAGCCAGAGATGGAACAGCAATATGTGACATTCATGGGCAAACTGCTGGAAAATGATCATGCTGAGGTGGCACCAGAACTAAGGGAAGATGAAGAGTTTTGGTACTTACCAAGCTTTGCAGTGTTTCACCCACAAAAACCAGGTCAAATCAGGGTGGTGTTTGATTCGAGCGCCCAACACTCCGTAATCTCCTTAAATAATGTGCTTTTGACTGGCCCTGATCTTAACAACTCCCTTATGGGAGTACTCATGCGGTTCCGAAAGGAAAAGGTGGCTGTTATGGCAGACATACAGCAGATGTTTTACTGCTTCCTCGTAGAAGAAAAACATAGGAACTATTTGAGATTCTTATGGTTCAAGAACAATGATATGGCAAGTGAAGTTGTAGACTACAGGATGAAGGTCCATGTGTTTGGGAACAGCCCGTCTCCAGCAGTGGCAATTTATGGCCTTAGAAGAGCTGTCAGAAAGGGTGCGCAAAGATATGGACAAGACACCATCAACTTTGTCGAGCGCCACTTTTATGTTGATGACGGCCTTTGTTCTGTCCCTACTGATGCTGAAGCCATTGACTTGCTGCGTAGGACTCAGGCTTCATTGGCTGAGTCCAACCTCAGGCTCCACAAGTTTGCATCGAATAGTCCGGCTGTCTTGGCAGCCTTTCCAAGTGAGGACTGTGTGGCAGCTGGAAAAGAGGTAGACCTCTGTGGGAAGGAGTCGCACATCCAACGCAGCTTAGGCCTCCTGTGGGAGGTAGCTAGGGACACATTCACTTTCTCTGTGTCAACTGACGCAAAACCGTTTACCCGCCGAGGAGTACTCTCAATGGTGAACAGTGTTTTTGATCCCTTGGGTTTTTTGGCTCCGGTCGTAATCCAAGGAAGAGCCTTTCTCAGAGAGCTGAATTCTGAGGCTTCAGAGTGGGACACTCCATTACCTGAAGATAAACTAGGCAAGTGGGAGGCTTGGCGAAACTCACTTCAAGAGTTGAAGCACTTCCATATATCAAGGATGTACACAGGCATCTCTCTAACCAAGGCCGAACAGATGGAACTCTGTGTGTTCTGTGATACTTCTACAATGGCCATTGGGGCTGTAGCCTATTTGAAGACCATCCAAGAAGGCATTGTTGACATTGGATTTGTCATGGGAAAGTCTAAACTTGCTCCTCAATCAGAGCCAACCATACCGAGACTTGAGCTGTGTGCTGCGGTTTTGGCTGTGGAAATGGCTGAACTGATTCAGGAAGAACTGGACTTGAAGTTAGATTCCACTAAATTCTACACGGATAGCAGAGTGGTCCTTGGATACATTCATAACCAATCCAGACGGTTTTATGTATATGTCCACAATCGAGTTCAGCGTATTCGCCAGACCACAAATCCTGAACAGTGGCACTACGTACGCACAGACGACAATCCGGCTGATATTGCGTCAAGGTCTGTTCCAGCATCACGTCTCGCACAAACAATGTGGTTCAGCGGACCTACCTTTTTGCGTAAGCCTTCCATTCAACCAGTGCCTATTCAGTCATTCAGCTTAGTCTCACCAGAATTGGATGCTGAGATTCGTCCAGATGTGAAGAGTTATGCCACCCAGCTGCACGAGAAAGGTCTCAGCATAGAGCGTTTTGAGAGGTTCTCCACCTGACACACTCCAGCGAGTTGTGGCACTCTTAATTCACATTGCAAGATCTTTCAAGTCCCCTAACATCATGGACAAGTGTAGGGGATGGCATACATGTGAGCTGCCTCGCTCTCCGGATGAGCTTTCCCAGGCCAGAGAAGTCATCATTAGAGCCGTTCAGAGGAAAGCATTTGGAAAGGAATTTGAAGCTCTAGAAAGAGACAAGCCAATTCCTCTAAACAGTTGTCTACGTCGTCTCAACCCTATCTTGCAGAATGACCTCATCTGCATTGGTGGCCGTCTGAAAAACGCAAACGTAGAGATTAAACAAAAGAACCCTGTAATTCTCCCAAAAGACAACCATGTTTCCTTACTGTTCATCAGACACCATCATACCCAAGTAAAACATCAGGGTCGCCATTTAACAGAAGGCGCTGTGAGAGCTGCAGGACTTTGGATCTTGGGAGGTAAAAGGCTCATTAACTCAACTCTTCACAAATGCGTGACCTGTCGTAGACTCAGAGGTCGGATGCAGGAGCAACTAATGGCGGATTTACCACCTGAGCGTCTCAAGGCCTGCCCTCCCTTCACGTATGTAGGGCTAGATGTCTTCGGACCATGGCACATCACTACCAGACGTACAAGAGGAGTTCAGCCTGAGAGCAAACGTTGGGCCATATTATTCTGTTGTATGAGCTCCAGGGCGGTTCACATTGAGGTGATTGCCTCAATGGACACCTCAAGCTGTGTCAATGCCTTAAGGCGTTTCTTTGCCATAAGAGGACCAGCCAAACAACTGAGGTCAGATTGTGGCACAAATTTCATTGGGGCCTGCAGAGAACTCGGGATGAGCGCAGAACAACCAGACACCACTGTGCAGAGGTACCTAAACCAACAAGGATGCTCTTGGGTGTTTAACCCACCTCATGCTTCGCACATGGGTGGTGCATGGGAACGCCTCATTGGAGTGGCTCGAAGGATCCTGGAGTCAATGCTTCTTGAACATGGCACTCGCCTGACTCATGAAGTCTTGTGCACTCTAATGGCAGAGGTGGCAGCAATTATGAATGCAAGGCCTCTGGTTCCAGTTTCAAATGATCCAGAAGATCCATTCATTCTCACACCATCTATGCTGTTAACTCAGAAAGTCGGCACTCCACCTCCTCCAGGAGACTTTACGGACAGAGACCTCCTAACCAAGCAGTGGAGATAAGTACAAGCCTTGTCCAACATGTTCTGGCGCCGTTGGAGACAAGTGTACTTGTCAACCTTACAAGGCCGGAAGAAATGGACCAAATCTCACCAAAATCTGCAAGAAGGAGATGTCGTCCTCCTCAAGGACAACCAAGTTGTCCGCAACAGCTGGCCTATGGCGATAGTCACAAAGGCTATTCCTGGAAAAATTCCGGGAAAGTCCGTAAGGTGGAATTGAAGACCACAGATCAAGGACATTCAAAAAAGTACCTTAGACCAGTGACAGGACTTGTTTTGCTTCTGAGTAGAGAGTGATGTTCATCTGTTTAGTTAATACATAACTTGTTTGTGTAGTGACCTCCCAGATGTCAGGCGGGGAGTGTGTTGCCATTAAGGCAAAATGTTAGGGACTTTTAATTTGATATGATGTAGACCTGGAGTTTGGGGTTAGAGGTTATTTCCTGTACAGAAGTAAGGAAGCTGACAGAATGTGAGCACATGTAATCCATTTGTTGTTAGCACTAGAGGCAATGTCGTAAGTACAAAATTCATTTTTATGTTAATAAGTTAATGTTACAATACTGTTTAAAAAGAAAAGACTACACATAGTTACATATTTATTTACATGTATATACAGGTATTTTTATTGTAACTAGATTTATGTTAAAACAGTCAAACTTTATTTCTTTGTTACAGTTTTCACTCTGTCATGTAAGATGATGTTGAAGCCACAGTAAACAGCAAGAAATCGCTCACTACGACTTGTCGTCATTTTGCATCAGAGTTAGCTGGTTGTATAGCTACAGTTGCTACACTGCAGTGAGGACAACACACTTAACCACGAACACAGATCACCCCAATGACCTCGAGCCGCTGACGCCGAATCATCTGCTCGCGTTGAAAACTCAGCCTAGTTTTCCACCTGGTGTGTTTGCTAAGGATGATGTCTATGCCCACCGGCGCTGGAGACAAATACAATATATGGCGGATCTATTCTGGCGAAGGTGGACTCACGAATACCTACCGCTTCTGCAAGAACGGCAAAAATGGCTCGGCCTAAAGAGAAGTTTCAAGGTTGGAGATGTCGTCCTCGTCGCAGATTCGTTCCTGCCAAGAAACTCCTGGGTGTTAGGCAGAATCATGAGGGTGATGCCCGATTCCAAAGGCGTTGTCCGAAGTGCTGAAGTTCGAACGAAGACCAGCATCATTCAAAGACCCATAACCAAACTTTGTTTATTGCAGGGAGAAGACTGAAAATAGAAGAGAAAGACTTGAATAAACTAAAAATACTTACCAGAGTAGATTGAATGTTGAATAGAAATTACCAGTTTGATTAGTCTGTGAAAAGTATTTAGTTGTTAATGCTTTCCAGTTAATGTTTACTTTAAATACTTCTCTGTGAAGAGAAGAAGATTTTTGCCAAAAGGAATTGAGAAAGTGTTACATTTAGGAGTATAAATGGCTTCAGTTTAAGTTTAAGTTGATAATTGATATGTTAAGGCCTAGTCAATTAGGGACCGGGATATGTTGAAGCCATTTCAATGGAAGTAATAATAATATTTTGAGTTTATTTAGTAAAACCTGAGAAAACCTGTGTTGCAAATGGAACATAGAAATTTGAATGTAAACAGTTGACCAGTGATCTAGTGTAATGTGATTGGTTGTTAGATTTAGTATGAAAGAAATAGAATCCTGCGAAGCAGCCAGAAGCCACTGGACTTTGAAGCAACACAGTCTTTTGACCTACACGGAACTAGTTAATTTGTAAGAAAAGTAAAGATCCTAAATTTTTTGTTTTATTTTATGTTTTGAAATTCATAATTAAACAGTCAAACGAAGAACTTTGGATTCAAGACTTTTATTCGCTGACGTTTTGTGTTGAGTACAAAAGAACTTTGAAGTCCTAAGCTAGTGAGTCAGGTTGCTGCACTCATATAATAATTAATTATTATTGCAGAGATGGGGTTTGGGGCTGGGTCCGTGGGACTGTTTCTGGGGGATGAGTCTGAGGGAAGAACAGGAGACACGGGTAAGGAGAATGCAGAAGAAAAAAGGTAGGTCAAATAAAAAGTGTCTGGATCAAACAATCAAATTAATCCACATAGGAGAAACAAAAGGAAATCTTTCTTTCCTGAGTGACAGCTTTAGTGACAGTTGAGTGGACATTGAATGAATGACTGAATCTCTGCTCCTTATGGTGACATTTCTTTGCCTCTATAGTCTTTTACTGTAAGATGTCAACCAGATTCAACAAGACATCTTCACCTGGCTATACCCAATGTTTAGATATGTTGTGGTATTTATGCAAATTAGCACATACATAATTAGATTGCACCGTTTGCCCATGTTAACAAACAATTTCAAAAAACTTGTAATGCATTTTTTGTTTGTCTTGATGTAAATAATCAACTCAGTAATTTTCATGATGATATCTAAAGGTTAAAAATGTTACCCTATTCACGTAAGAAAAAGAATGATTAGCACAAACTAATAATTCCCTCATTCCCTCACAAACTATATCTCCCATAACTCACTGTCCGGACTCTTCATCCATTATCACATTCACCTGTGTCTCATTATCTTGTTTGGCACGTAACACCCTGTTCAATGAATAATGCATTTGGACATTTGGACATACTGCATTACATTTATTCAGCAAAGATCCATTAAATTAATCAAAAGTGACAGTAAAGACATTTTTAATGTTACAAAAGCTTTCTATTTCAGATAAATCTCCTTTGAAATTTCTATTCATCAAAGAATCCTAACTTTATTTGTTTAAACAATAATCAGAAATGTTTCTTGAGCAGCAATTTCACATTATTCCTGTAAAATCCAATTGTAAAAGAAAGGAATTGCACTTATTGTACTGGTGTACTTATTGTACTTATGTACCCCCCCCCCCCAGCCCACTGTGCAGGAGTTCATCACATGATATACCATATATGGATATATTTGTAGCATCACAGCACCACATCCTCATCTATCTCAAAGTTGCAGTTTACACCATTTCTTACACGCGCAGATGCACGTGAAGGCTCTCAACAAAGACTTGACTTTTGAGTGAACCTTCTGTGTTTGCTTCATTCTTGGTCCCTGATATCAGTGTCACTCTGTCTTTAATTCGATAAGGAAGATCCATAATTATCATCTAACAGATTGGTGGCTGTGTATGTGATAGTCCAAGCAGAACCAGGACCAATTTTGGATCTCCAGGACCAATTTTGATCTCCAGGAGGCTGATCGTGTAAGTGTGTTTTCTTCTCTAAAGATTGAGATAACCTGTAACCTTGCATGATGTCAGCCTGTATAAAACTTTGTTGAAGTACATTTACTCTCGCTGTAGTCTCTGTTTGGCATAAAACCCCAAAGAGAAAAGGATTTATGATATCTTAAGGCTGGAATTTGTCCAGGCCACTTTGGTTAAAGTGAACAAGGGGGAATCAAAGTCGTGCGACTTTCATATAACGGACTATAGAGTGACCGAAATATGACCAGATCTGTAATTGTTTTATCTGTTGATTGTCATTTGATTTGTGTGTAAATTAATTGCTGGAATGAGGCAATGGGGTCAGATACTTCAAGATCACTCCCTGGGGAAATTCCCCTGACCCTCCATAAGTCATTAGGGACCCCCCATAAGAATTTATTTTTGGATTTTGGGGGGTCCCGACAAATATATTTTAACATTAAAAATGATTGTGAAAATTATAGGTCTTTAGTGACGTTTTATATTTATAACAGTGCTTAATTTATTTCCTAGCGCGAGGCAGCAATCAGGGCAGCTCTTAGCCGAGTGAGTTGTTGTTGTGGTCCTCGACGCTAATGTACAGACTCAGTCTGTAACAAAGTTGCGCTGTTGAGGCTAGCGCAGTTATTAATATAACATATTGATTTATAGTTAAGAAACAATATATAGGCTACACACGACCAGAGTGCTGTTTTCCTGAATGCCATCACGATTGAAACCGAGATATTGATTTCATTACAGTTCAATAAACAAATAGTTTAAATAGTTTAAAATAAGTTACTTACATTTTTAGACGCAATGACTGTTTTTGTTCTGTTTCATCAGCGAAAATAGTTCCAAACAGCAGAACCACAGCGCATTTCAGAGCATCACTCACCCATGATTCATTACTGAATAATTCAGTGTTTTGAACTAAATGCTCGAGTCAACGATTCAATTACCCATTATTAAACCGCCTCATTCTGAATAAATCAGCCGTTTGAACGAATCGTTTAAATGAATGACTCAATGACTCGCTCATTAAGACGGCCGCCTGCCGCTCCGCAATTTAGTTTCAAAGTATCATTCTTTTCAACATTCTTTATTTGTATATTCAAAAAATATTTAAAACAATCTCATAATCTCATTAAATACAGTTATAATTTTTCAATGTAAATTATTTAATTTGATTGGTAACAGCCACTAGGCTAGGCTGTCTTATTATTTTAATTGAATGTAGCCTAAGAAAATGTACGAATTTGAAATGAAATTTAGATCATACATTAAATAAAATTAGGGGGAAAGTGCCCTTTATAAAGGTACAAAAAATTATTCAGATAAGAGTGTTTTCAAAAATGAAACATTGACAATTTAACTTTAAAGGGAGTAAAGCTTCTGTTTAGGCTATAAAGGAAATGTAATTTTGCCAAAAGAAGAACTTTTAATTTAAATAAATGTTAATTTTAAATCAGCCTACTTCAGTGTGATATGTTACCATATTATCATGCTTAATTGAATAATTGTAATGTGATGATCAGATGCAGATATCTAAATCAAAGAATATGGGTGGTTGGCGGGTGGATTATTATTTATTTTTAACAACAGATTCGAGTGACTCAAAGTGCGGATTAATGAATTTATCTTATCTTAGTGTTACGATTTTGCCACCTCTGCCTCATTTTGAGCCAGAAAAAACCCTGACATTGGTCCATATAATTTTGCCTACAGTAGGCTACATAGTGTAGCAAGGTAGTCTTCAGAATTTTTTATCATTTTATAATGACATTTTAGATCAACGAGATGGATCGTTTAGAGAAAAGGCCATGCACACAATGAAATCAATGGTGCTTGAGGGTTGGGGTGATCCAAATCGGGACACAAAATATATGAATGAATCTTATGAGGTGTGGAAAAAATGATGAAGAAAGTGTGAGACCAGGGACCTGAGAAAAAGCACAAAAAAAAAACATTTCTGTCAAACCTGCAGCTCTCAGTTGAACCATTGCTAAATGTATGTTATGCCGTTGCATTGCACCAGGAAACAGGAAGCACAACCACATAAGTTGTACAAGTAAACCCAATTCTTTGTTCTAAATTTAAATATGACACATCTCATGTGTATATGTCAAACAGTACCCATTGTTACCTGTGTATCCAGCCACTGTTGGACAATTTTGTAGCACAGGGTGTAGTCGTGCCAACACATTCACCCTATAACACACCAAGTAATCCAGCTGTTAAAGCACATGGCACTATAGCTGGTGACTCAAGACCTGTGCGCCATTAACCAATTAATCGCCCCACTTCCGCTAGTCGTCCCCGACGTGCCTACTATTATGAATTCCATACCATGTACACACGGGGTTCAAAGCATCAAAGGCTTGAAAGTTTTCTGGGACTCATAAATTACTGCACACTGTAAAAAATGATTCCGTAAAAAAACAGATAATGTGGCAGAAAATTACCAGGACATTTTCTGTTAAATTACGGACAGTTCCTTCAACTCTAAAACGGAAACTTCTGTATATCAACAGTACATTTTCTGTACTATTCACGGATAATCCTTATACAGAAATTTCTATTTTTCTAGAATTTGTATGGCATAT